TTAAACTCCCAGCTATGAAACTTAGCTGCATGGTATTAGGCAAATGAAAATCTTTCTAAGCTCATTTATTCATCATTTATTCAACCCCTTAGGTTTATTGTAATATCAAGTAGCACACAAAGAGCTCATAGTGAAGTGACTGACACTTACCAATCAATAGATAGTAGCCAAGTTGATAGCAAAAAAAACAACAACAACAACAACAAAAACCCCAAAACCCCACAAAAACACAAAACCCAAATAACACAATTAAAAGATGGGGAAGGGACTTGAAAAGACATTTCTCCAAAGAGGATTTACTTGGGCCACCAGATGTATGAAAAGATGCTCAACATCAGAAGATCAACAGGGAAATGCAAATCAAAAACCACAAGAGATATCAGCTCATACCTGTTAAGATGACTATTATAAAAACAAGCAGAAGATAAGTGTTAGTGAGGATGTGGAGAAATTGGAACCCTTGTACGTTATTGGTAATAATGTAAAATGATTCAGCTGCTATGGAAAATAGTATGGAGTTTCTTCAACAAATTAAAAATAGAACTATCATATGATCCAGCAATTCCACTGCTGGGTATGTATTCAAAAGTATAGAAAACAAGATCTTGAAGAGCTATTTACATTCCCGTGTTCATTGCAGCATTATTAGCAATAGACCAGACATGGAAACTACATTTAGTTTCCATACCTAAATGTCCATCAATGGGTAGATAAAGAAAAATGTGGTGCTCTAGTTGGTTTGGCTCAGGGGATAGAGCGTCGGCCTTGCAGACTGAAGGGTCTCAGGTTTGAGTCCGGTTGTGGGCACATGCCCGGGGTTGTGGGCTCGATCCCCAGTAGGGGGCAAGCGGGAGGCAGCCGATCAATGATTCTCTCTCATCATTGATGTTTCTATCTCTCTCTCCCTCTCCCTTCCTCTCTGAAATAAATAAAAATACATATTTTTTAAAAAAGAAACATGTGGTATAGATACAGTAGAATATTATTCAGCCTTAAAATGGAAGGAAATCCTACCATTTGTGATAACATGGATGAACCTGGAAGACATTACACTAAGTGAATAGGTGAGTAATAGAAGGACAACTACTGTATGATTCCCCTTATATGAGGTATCTAAAATAGTCAAACTTGTCCTAGCTGGTTGGCTCAGTGGATAGAGCATTGGCCTGCGGACCAAAGGGTCCTGGGTTCGATCCTGGTCAAGGGCACGTGCCTTGGTTGTAGGCTCCTTCCTGGTCAAGACGTGCCTTGGTTGTAGGCTCCTTGGGCCCTGGCCCTGGTTGGAGGCAACCAATCGATGTGTTTCTCTCACATTGATGTGTTTCTCTCTGTCTTTCCCTCTCTCTTCCACTCCCTAAAAATCGATGGAAAAATATCGGATGGGGATTAAAAAGTAAATAAATAAAATAGTCAAACTCACAGAAGCAGAGAATAGAATGGTGGTTGCCAGGAGCCAGGAGGAGGGGGAAATGAGTTGTTGTTCAGTGGGTACAAAGTTTCAGTTATGCTAGATGAATAAATTCTAAAGATCTAGTATAAAAACAGTGCCTATAATTAACAGCAAAGTATCGTGTTGTTGTTTTGTTTCTGTTTTAAGTCTGCTGTCTGGAGTCCCAGCCTGAGAAGTTCTGCTTTAGTTGTCTGGGGTGCAGCATGGTCTTGAGAATTTTAAAAACTCTCTAGATGATTCCAATATGCAGCCAGGGTAGAGAAATACGTCTCCGGACCAGCTTCCTCACTGTACAGACGGCAAAGAGAGGCCCAGAGAAAGTGGAAGTGACTTGTCTGGTAAAATGAGATAAGTAACCCAAACCGAGGGCTCCTGACTCCTCGTCCTGGGTTCTGTCTAGCACAGGACACTGCCTCAGGCTCACTTTCTGTGCTTCCACACGAACATTCTGCCCCAGTCAAATCGTCTCCTGTCATACTCCCTGAACACCCCAGGGTCACTCCTGTGTCAAATCCACAGCAATGCAAGCTGCCATTGGAGCGCTTATCATGTGCCAAACACCGAGCAAGTCAATGTGTTATCTCTAACCCATGCAAGCTCCCGAGGAAGGCGTGAGCATTCCCATTGCAAGAGGGGGAAGCTGATGTTCAGAGACTTTAAGGGGCCAGCTGACTTCACAGCCAGCGAGGAGAAGCCAGAATCTGACGCAGGTCTGTTGGACTCCAGAGCCCAGGCTCTTCCGCTACACTCACTGCCATCTGCTCCTACCCCACCTCACCTTCTGGATTATTTCTTCAAGAGCCAGCGCTAGTTTCACTCCCTTCCCAAAAGCCCTTCCACCTATACCACGGGGATCTTTTTTATCTACTCTACATTCCTGGCACTAATCACCCACATTAGCCGTTTGGCCAGGTCTACCTCCTGTGGTAATTTATCTTGTCGTGTATATGACCCGTTTCCTTCTCCATGAGTCTGGGGAGGAGGGGGACCTTCCTCTGACTGTGTTTCTGTCCTGGTTCTGTAGCTGTTTCGAGACATGGCGATACCGCAAGATCATAACACCTCGTCTCCTGTGAGACTCCTCCCCTGGGAATATCTGGAGAGGGGAACGCCTGTCAGCCCAGGAAAAGTTGAACATGTGAGCTGGGAAGGATGGCGCCTTCTCCGGGCTGAGCTGTGTGGTGATATTGACAAGCAGGCCTGTGGGTGTCAGTAGAAAGCCTAGTTTTGAGAGTGTGAGAGTCTCCGATGAAATAAAATCTCAGGCAGGAAAGAGTTTTTGCATCTTAGCCATCAGCCTGAATCTAGAATAACCTCCCCAGCATAACGACGACCATGGCAACGTTCCTCCCAGCCCAGAGCCTGGCGGTGCGGAGCCCCAGCTGCTGAGGTGGCAGCTTGCCTGTTTGCGCAGCTTTGTCAGAAGGCTGTTCCTGACTGAATGTGAGACCCGCCTCCTTGCAGCTTCCACCTCTTCTACAAGAAAAGCAAGTGGAAACAGTCCATGATCTACATCTGAGCCTAGGCATGTGAGGGGCCTATCCCTCCGAGTCAGGCGTTCCACACAAGATTGACTATTCTAGGATGTTGCTGACACCAGTGGGGGCCCCACTGCTCTGGGCTGCCCTCCCTCCTGGCCTAAACATTGTCCACCCTCAGCGCATCAGGGACAGAAAGAAGCGAGCAACACACCTTTGGCAGAGCGCAGTCCTCTCAGACCCAGAGAGCGACTCTTCCCAGCAGGGTCCCAAGACGTGGCGTGTGTGTGTGTGTGTGTGTGTGTGTGTGTGTGTGTGTGTGTGTGTCTTCCTCAGCGAAGCCTCCTTTTCACTTCTGTTCTTCCCAAGGGCTCCTCCCCAGTAACCTGTTCCTTACTTGGCCAACTCACTCTCTCTGCTTAAAAAATATAGAGGGATTACCACTGTACTTCCTGGTACCAGTTGTAGTCTTTAGAAACACATAGAACAAACCCAATGTCTCTTCTGCTAGGGATCTAAAGACAGACCCACCCATCCATCCATCCATCCATCCATCCATCCATCCATCCATCATATCTTTATTGGGAGCCCACTGTGTGCCAGGCACTGAGTCCTCGTAGGCAGTCTCCTGCTAGGTAGGTCCACTTTTTTTTTTTAATCTTCACCTGAGGATATACTTTTACTAATTTTAGAGAGGGGAAGAGAGAGAGAGAGAGGGAGAGAGAGAGAGAGAGAGAGAGAGAGAGAGAGAGAAACATTGATGTGTGAGAGAAACATCAATTGGTTGCCTCCCTCAGGTGCCCCAACCAGGGATGGAACCGAAACCTGGGGAGTGCCCTGACTGGAACTGAACCGCAACCTTTTGGTGGACAGGACGATGGTCCATCCAACTGAGCCACCTGGCCAGGGTGGGAGGTTCACTTTTACGTGGTGGGTTTCTGAGAAGGGAATGGAGGGATAAGGGAACTTGCATTTACTGAACACGAGTTGCCTATCAGGCAGGGTTAGGTGCTAGTTTTACGTGCCTTCTGTTGTTTAAGCCTCACACTGTCTAGTGAGGTGGATTCTCTATGTCTCTATTTTTAAAGGAGGGAGCTGAGGCTTAGAGAACTTATGTAATTTGACCAAAGACTCCACAGCCAGTAAGTGGTGGAGCTGGAGTCCAGACACAGAGCTCCCCAAATTCGAACCACCAGGCTGTGGGCCTCACATGGGAATCCCTAGAAGAGCTGAAGGGATAGCATGGTCCCTTCAAGTCATGTATCTGAAATAAATGCTACTTAAGTTTTCTTTTCAGACTTTCAAACCAAAACCCCTCATTTTCTCTCTCTCTCTAAAAAAGTTTACAAGTGATTGCTGTGCTGTTTCCTGTAGAAGTCGAATTTCCTGCCAGTGCTTCTCCATTATAAACTGAAACACATGCCAAGGCATAGGAAAATCAATAGCAGTGATTTGGGGATTCATCCGTTTGTTTTTCTTTTAGAATTAGTTCTTAGATTACATTTATTTTAATTGATAAATTGCTGTGATAATATAAAAGAACAATTTCAAGAAAATAAAAACTAACCCAAATTTCATATGCTAAAACTAATTCCATTCTAATTCATATCCATATGTGTATATTTTTTCAATTGTAAATTCTTAATAAATGTAGGCTATTATCATAATTCCAAATGTTTTATATTTTCACTCAACATTATTGAACATCATTTACCCATGTTTCTATGTATTTTTTCTAATGACCACTTTCTTTTCTTTTTTTCTTTTTTAATCCTCACCTGAGGACATTTTTCCATTGATTTTTAGGGAGAGTGGAAGAGAGAGGGAAAGACAGAGAGAAACACATCAATTGGTTGACAGTTTTGTACCTGGTCCAATTCTATCTTTCTCAAATCTAATCTCTATTCACGCTATTACAGTGACTTCCTTTTTATTCCCTTTCTCATTACATTATGTTGAAATCTCAGAAAAATGGAACACATGCTCTAAAGACACTCTTAGTTCAAATAGTTCAAGTGGAGTTTAAATAGTCTTTCTCCTCCTCAATTTACCAATTTAGTAACTGTGTCTTAGCCCAAATTCTCTAGATTACAGAGCCTGGGGTCAAAATTAAAGTGCTGATTCTTTTTTGTGGGTGGAGGCCGAGTTTAGGAAGGTAAAAGTGAAGAAAAAGGCACATCAAGCAATGCAACATGATGCATTACCATGCCAGCAAGGACTTCCAACAAACCATGATGAGAAACAGCAGGCCACTTAGCAGGTAGATTCCTTGAGCTACAGGAGTCTCTGTCGTGGCCTCAGGGGGGAATCGCAATCTTGAAACAGTCTGTGGAAGGGGAACATGAGAAAAGTGCATCTGTTTGCTTCACTTCTGTCTGCCATTTCCCCTTTGTCAAGGTTTGTGCCACTAGAAGATAACTCTCCCGTACTTCAGTGCAACTTCAGTGATGCATCACCCAGTCCGTTGACACCAGCTCCAGAAGGAAGATTCCGTGCCCTGTGTTACGGCATTTCGTCCTGAGAGGAAGAAGCGAAGCAGTGCAGGTGGGAGGATGTGCGGGCCGCGCTGGTCTGAGCTTCAGTTCTGACTCCAGGGAGCTCAGCAGAGGCGGCAGCAGTCCAGGAGGTGAGTGCCTTTGGGAGAAAGGAGGCAGTCAGAGGAGTGAGGTTGTGCACCGTCCACAGCACAATCAGATACCACCTTCATCTTTCCACTGCAGTGCGCGGTGGAGGTCCTCAATGAGAGCGCAGCAAATCTAGATTCTTCCTAATCGTTGTCTTGCTGATAGCTTTGCTCCATTGGACACTTTTTAAGAAAAGTATATATATATTGACTTCAGAGAGGAAGGAAAAGGGAGAGATAGAAACATCAATGATGAGAGAGAATCATTGATCCACGGCTTCAGCACGTCCCCTACTGGGGATCGAGCCCGTAACCTGGGCATGTGCGGCTTCAGCACGTCCTCTACTGGGGATCGAGCCTGTAACCTGGGCACGTGCCCTTGACTAGAATCAAACCCTTCAGTCTTCAGGCCGACGCTCTACCAACTGTGCCAAACCAGCTAGGGCCATTGGACACTATTGATCACTCTCTCCTTGAAACTCTATCTTCCTCTTGTTTTCCAGTTTCTGTTCCTGCTTCTCTGGCTGTGACTTCTTAGGGACTTCTTCCTTCTCCCACCTCTTAAAATGAGATATTCTTTGTGGCTTCATTTTTAGCCTTCTTGTGTTCTCACTCTCCACACTTAGCTGTCTCCTATGCACTGATAATTACCAAATCAATATCTGCAGCCCAAGTCTCTCTGCTCTAGATCCATGGAGATGATGGCTAACCTGTCTCTACCTGATAACTCAGGTGGTAAAACTTAAGAGTCCTAGAAGTGAGCTCATCTTCTATCCTCTTTCCCAACCTTCACCAAACCTGCTTTTCTTCCTGTAGCTCTATCTTATAAATGTCACCAAATCAAGAATCCAGCAGTTATTTAATTTCTTCAGATTTCATATCCAGTGAGTCACTATTGATCTTTCCTCCTAAATATCTCATTGATCCAGACCTCTTCTCTGTTTCCATGGCCACTGTTTTATTTCAGAACTGTAATCGCTTCCTACATGTTCTCTCTGCCCTTGACCTTGCCTCCTTTCAACCCATTTCTTCTGAACTGACCCTGCAATTATAACTTTAAAAGGCAGATAATCATGACCAAATAAGGTTTACTCCAAGGATATAAGAAAAGTTCAGAGTTAAAGGTACCTACTTATATAATTTATGACATCAGTGTATCAAAGGAGAAAAATAATATGATCATCTTAACAGAATGCTAAAATTTTTTTGATAAAAATCAACATAGATTTTTTTATTTAAGAAAATTTTAATGTGTTAATATTAAGGGATATTGATCTCAAACCAACAGTTAATATTATACTTAGCAATAAAGTATTGAAGAAGTATTCCATTAAAACTAATAATTTGATATTATCATTTAAAAATATATTTTTATTGATTTCAGAGACGAAGGCAGAGGGAGAGAGAGATAGAAACATCAATGATAAGAGAGAATCATTGATCGGCTGCCTCCTGCATGCCCCCTATGGGGGGTCGAGCCTGCAACCTGGGTATGTGCCCTTGACTGAAATCAAACTTGGAACCCTTCAGTCCACAAGCTGACACTCTATCCATTGAGTCAAATCAGCTAGGGCTGTCATTGTAATTATTTATCATTACTCTGGAATTGCTAATCAATGAGGGAGGTATAAATATTAGATAGGAAGAGAAAAAATGATCATTACTTGAAGATTATATGGTTGCTTGAAAAACCATCAGAAATAATAACAGAGTTCAAAAAGTTTGGCAATTATGATAGAAATATTTAAAAAACAATAGTTTCCTTATGTATGGGCAATAATTAGTTAAGAAAGATAATGGGAAAAAGAACCCATATATCAAGACAATAAAAAATAATCAAAGTACCAAGTAATAAACTTAATGATAAGTGTGCAAATCTATAAAACTTTACCATCTAAAGTAAAATTTAAGTAAAGGGAGAGATATTCTATATTACTGTACTGGAAGAGTAAATATTATAAAGATATTAATTTTTTCTCAAGCTAAGCCTATAAATTTAACAAAACCCCAATAAAAATACCAAGAACCTTTTCTTTTAGAACATGAAAGAAATCTATTTTAAAGTTTATTTGGAAAAACTTTTGCACAGGTTTTCAGGTACTCAGAATGCTCTACTATCTTTTCTTTAAGAAAGGATTGAAATACACTCCTGCTGTGCCCCCTTCCACACTTATATCCTTAATAATCCTCAACATATATCTCTATATCCTTAATAATCCTTAATATATAACATGGCACTGTCTATAATAATAATAATCTAAGTGTCCAAAAATAGGGGAAATATGCAGTCACTTCAAAAGAGGTAGAAGAAGAATATTTAGGAACAAAAACTATTTATGGAAAGATATTTAAAATAACAAAGCAGTAATGGAAATGCAGCCAGCAGGTGGAAAGAAGTTAGTTTGACAACCTGACACTAGGATTCTGATAGAGAGGGACTGTTGATTTAGCAGCAGAACTTAGAATCTCATTGTAGTTTAGAGCAAAGCAAAAGGAGTGCTCAATTGCCTGGTGCAAAAGGGGAAGGGAATTTCGAATGAGTGTTTTGGAGTTCACAGCTAGAGGAGATTGAATTTGGAGAATGAAAAGGTTAGGGAGGGAGGCTGGGAGGGAGGGATAGAAGCTGGGCAAGTGGAGAAATGGCCAATGAGAATTTTCCAGTGATAAGGATGACTAATGAACTCCTAAAAGAACTTCTCCCTAGTCTCAGTTTCAAGTTGTGCTCTGAGTTCTTCTTTGTTTTTCTTTAATATAAGCCATCCTCTTTTGCTCCCAAATCTTGCCTAGAAGTTTGCTTGTTTCGACCATATTTGGGAGAGAGAAGGGGTTGGGGAAGTATAGAAGGGACAGTTTTGTCCAGGAGGTGAAATGAGGAGTGGGGATCAAGGTAGAAAATCTGAGCTATCGGTGATCAAAAGAAATATACCCCCATTCCTTCCCTTCCTCCAAAAAAGTCCCCAGAACCCTCAGAGACACTGCAGGGACTTGAGTTTCATGCCATTTACAGGGTAGGGGTTTGAGCAGAATTCTTTGATTTATCAACAGCTGGGGAGACTCCAGAAGGTTGGAGGCCCCTGTCAAGTACACAGGGGATAGGAGTGAGGAAGCTCAGGAAAACCGTTCGGAAGGATACCCAGCCTCTGAAAGTTACTTATGATATGAAGGTTACGAACAACATTTATTTTCTTGTGCTCATCTGCATTTTAATTCTTCTAGAGCGAATCCACTTGTGTAATTGTGTAATTACTTGTGTAATTTTAGAAAGAAAAATGTACTGAGGGAATAGCTAACCCATAGGCAGAAAGCTGATTGCTGACTGCCAGGGGCTGGGGGTGGGGGGACTGGGAACTGATTCCTTATCAGGCATGGGTTTCCTTTGGGGGCAATGAAGATGTTTCAGAACTAGATAGAGGTAGTGGTTGTACAACATTGTGAATTTACTAAATGCCACTGAGTTGTTCATGTAGAAGTGATTTATTTTGCCTTGGCCGGTGGACTCAGTTGGTTTGATTCCTGGTCAGGCACATGCCCGGGTTCAGGACTTGATCTTCAGTGGGTGTGTGTGTGTGTGTGTGTGTGTGTGCAGGAGGCAGCTGATCGTGTTTCTCATCAATGTTTCTCTCTCTCTCCCTCTCCCTTTCTCTCTCTCAAAACAATAAATATATACTTTAAAAAATGATTTATTTCATGTTATGTGAATTTCACCTCAATAGAGAAAAAATTAAAAAAAATCTACCGAGGAAAAAAATATACAACATAAATTAGATTCTGTCTCTCTTCTGCTTAAAATCCTTCAGGGACACCCTAACTCTTTAGCCTGGCAGGCAAGGCTCTTCATGTCCTGGCCCTGCTGCTGCTCCACCACAGCCGCCCCTCCCTGTAAACCTTACTCTCCAGCCATACACAGCCCTGCGCAGTGCTCTCAAAGGGCCTATTCTTTCCTGCCTCCGTGCCTTTGTATGGGTTTTCTTTCCCTGGAATGCCCTTCCCCTGAGTTACTTTCCACTCATCCTTCAAAACTCAGCTAAATTTCTCCTCCTTTGAGCAGCTTTCCCTGATTGCATAGTCTGGGGGTACCTCTTTCCTGTACCCCCAAGAACCTTCTGGACATTTCTCTATTTTATCAGGAGAGGTGATTGGGAACCCTTGGAGGACAGGGCCTGGGCCTTCCCTCTCTTTAGCTTCACAACCTGGTCCAGGACAGAAGCCATAATGAATGTGAAATGAGTGAGAACAGAAATGAATGTGAAATGAATAAGATGAAAGTAACAACCTTTTCTAATGTAAAGGGGAGTTACGCAGGGCGTGAAATGGAAAATGATTCAGAGGTGTTTAACTGGCTTACCATGGCATTTATCATGGAGGAATGAATAATCTTTTATTTTTCTTCTTACTTTTTAAAAATATATGTTTTTATTGATTTCAGAGAGAGGAAGGGAGAGGGAGAGAGAGATAGACACATCAATGATGAGAAAGAATCATTGAATGGCTGCCTCCTGCACACACCCTACTGAGGATCGAGCCCAAAATGTGGGCATGTGCCCTGACTGGGAAATCGAACCTGACCTCCTGGCTCATGGGTTGATGCTCAATCACTGAGCCACAGCAGCTGGGCTCTTCTTACTTTTTATGAATTATTTAGGAGTTGAAACAAAAATAAAAATTCCCAATAACAAGTTAATAAAAATGTCAATCTAAGTAACAAAATAGTCCCAGATGGGGCTTAGAGGGTTGCAGAATACTCATAGTCTTAGGAAATAAGGCTAAAAACTCAATTACTCTTACAAAAAAAACGTATGATGGGTAATAAGCAAGATTATTTTTTGGTCCCAAAACTAAGATATATTATTCCATCTTAGGATGGTGTTGAAAACACCTGTCTTACAGGATTTTAAATGAATCTAAGTCCGTAACGAAATAATGAATCTATGCAAAAATCATCAATGGTTGCCAAAATTATTCAATGAAAGGTTGATGAGGAAATTTATAAGGTTGTATCAGGCTGGCAACCCCTGAATCTACTGTTCAACCTTAGTGTTACTAAGAGTGGGACAGCCAGCCCGGCTGGTGTGGCTCAGTGTTTGAGTGTTGACCCAAGAACCAGGAGGTCATGGTTCAATTCCTGGTTGGGCATATGCCCGGGTTGTGGGGTTGATTACCAGTGGGAGGCATGCAGGAAGCAGCAGGTCAATGATTCTCTCTCATCATTGATGTTTCTCTTTCTTTCTCCCTCTCCCATCCTCTTTGAAGTCAATTAAAAAAAATTTTTTTTTTAATTAAAAGTGGGCCAGCCAGACTTAATTGCCCCCTGATAAGATGCTGTAGCAACTACACATAACCATTTAAGTAATAGTCTTGCTAAAAGAATTGAACCTGAATTTAAGAAGTCTCGAACACCAGACTGTGAGAAATATAAAGGAAGAGAAGCATGTTAAATTATACCATAAGGACAGAAGAAATCAAGTCAAGAAGATGGAAAAATTCTTTAAGACAAGTGATTCATTTCTTTAATAAATAAATCTTATGAAGAAAAAGGGAGATGGAAATTATAGATTGAAGGAGAAAGAAATTTAAGAGATACATTTGAATAAAAAGATTTTTTGAGGCAATCTGGGAAAATTTACATGGATTGAATATTAATAATATTAAGGAATTATTAACTTTATTATGTGTGATAATGGTATTTATCAGACTATATGTTTTTAAAAGTTCTTATTTTCAGAGATTGAAATATTTATGATGAAATGATGTCTTGAATTTGCTTATTGCCCTACCTGGTTTGGCTCATTGGATAGAGCATTGGCCTGTGGACTGAAGGGCACATGCCCGGGTTGTGGGCTTGACCCCCAATAGGGGGTGTGCAGGAGGCAGCCAATCATTGATGTTTCTATCTCTTTCTCCCTCTCCCTTCCACTCTGAAATCAATAAAAATATTTTTAAAAAATGCTTATTAAAAAGTGTGTGTTGGAGGTAGATGAAACAATGGTATAGAATATTAAAAATAGTTGACTCTGGATGATAATGGACACATGGATTCATTATACGATGCCTTCCCCTTTTCTGTATGTTTGAAATTTCCATAATAAAAAGTTTTCTGACTCCATTTCGCTTCAGCCTGCCCAGTTCCCATAATGTGTGGATTAGCAAATTTTCCTTAGTTCTGCACATCGATATGCTAATCACTAAAGGAATCAAACCTGTAGCCTAGGAATTACTGAAACAACCTCCTGGCTTGAAACTACCTCCCAAGGAGATAGGAAGGTATGTTTATCAAAAGATTTTTAATCCCAGCTGGCTTGGCTCAGTGGTTGAGTGTTGACCTATGAGCCAGGAGGTCACGGATCGATTCCCACTCAGAGCACATGCCTGGCTTGCAGGCTCAATCCCCAGTGTGGGATATGCAGCAGGCAACCAATCAATGATTCTCTCTCATTACTTATATTTCTATCTCTTCCTCTTCCTTCCTCTCTGAAATCAATGTATATATAAAAAAGCCTAAGTGACCATTTGACTGTTCAACTGTTCGACCATTAGCTATGATATGCACTGATCACCAGGGAGCAGACACTCAATGCACAGGCATGGAAACATGGACCAGACTGATGAATCTCAGAGGAAAGGTCAGAGGGCAGAAAGAGATTAACCAAAGATCTTATGTGCATACTAAAGGCCTGGTGCACGGATTCATGCACGGGTGGGGTCCCTTTGCCTGGCCTGCGCTCTCTTGCAATCTGGGACCCCTCAGGGGATGTTGGACTGCTGGTTTCGGCCCAATCCCTGCAGGCCAGACTGACCCCACCAGTGCACGAATCCGTGCACCAGGCCTCTAGTAAGAATATATTTTAAAAAAAGATTTTTAGGAATCCCATGACTGACACCAAGGCAAGTGGTTTGTTGACCACAAGCAAGGAGGTTTCACCATCCCCTTGGACCCTTGCTGCAGTCCAAATGTCAGAGGTCATCAATTGCCTCCTAACCTCAAACCCTTCCATATCCCTCCCTTCCCCTGGCATAAAGGAAGCCTGAATTCTGTAGTTTCTCAAGATGATTCTTTAGGATGCTAGTCTGGGATCTTCTGGGTTTTCTGGCTTTCCGAAGGAAGTCATTTTCCTTGTCCCAACTCCCTGTCACTCAGCTTATTGGCTGTTGTGTGGTGAGCAGGTCGAGCTGCCACTGGATTGCAGTGTTGCTCTCTCTCCAACCTTTTTCTTTATGAATATATACAGGCAGTGCTTCCACATGCGTATGGTGTGGGTTTCTGTTAAAACTAAAATGGGATCATCTATTGCATATTGTTCTGCAATTTACTTTTTCTACACCACAATACACGGTGTTTCTTTTTGTCGGTTCATGCGGCTCTGTACTTGCGAGTCAGTAAGCAGTGCCATGCGTATGCCTTTGCTCCCAGTTGTGAACCTTTCTGTGAGCTAGAATCCTACAGCGGAAGTGTTGGGTCAAAGGGCGCATGTCATGTACATATCTTGATAGCACTATGAAATGATCCTACTGCCCCTCCACAGGTTGTTATTTTCACATGCAGAACGCAATATTATCTACTTTCTATACATTTCTACGTTGCATGCTGAGAGACTGTCCTTTCTGTTTCAGAGAATAACTGTGTTTGATTAGCAGAGGGTAAAGCCTGCACGCTGTTTTCAGGGCTGACGGTAGCGGTGGATTGCGTAACATAAAGGCAGTCCTAGTTTTCTTTGTGAAAACCCAGTGAAGATTCTGTGCGGCGGGATCCTGAAGGGAAAAGCGGGAATAAAGCCTCCTCTCAAAGGCTGTCCCAGTGGATGGCAGCTGTGAGAAGGTGGAGGAGTGAAAAGAGGGAAAGGAAACGCCGCTTCAGTTCCCCCGGGGGGTTCAGGATCTCGCGTTCCCCTCCCGCTGTTCCAGTGACTTTTAGCGAGGACAATTCCAGAGAAGGGTGGTTTAAAAAAAAGAAATCCAAATGGAATCTGGTTCGCCCTTCCTTATGTAAGAGCACCTGTCATGGGGGCACAATAGTTCCAGGCAGAACTCCTAAGAAAGATCACTTTGTAAGCCCCCCTCTGTGGGGAGGGGGGGCGGAGCGGGGAAGGGGGGTCAACAATTGCCCTTTGTCCGTGCGGCCCTCCCATTGTCCCGCAGTAGAGTTGCTGCTGCTCCAAACCGCTGTAGTAGGTTTGGGCGAGAAGACATTATTCCATTGTGTTGTAGAAATTAGATCAATGAGGGTGATGTCATTCATGATGTGAGGCTTTCCCTCGGTCCTGGCTGTTCCAGATCCAGGAAATCACGTGCTGCCCCATTGCTGTCTATATTTCTCTAGAGCCGTAGGCAGTAGGCACATAGACAGGGACCTGGGTCAAATGAGAAGCTACTGACGTTCCAAGAATCTTGACTTATTTTTCAGGTGAAGTAAAATCAACATTTTATATATTGATTTCTGAAGCAATGCTTGTGAAAACAAGAAACAAATGCCCTGGTTGGTCTCCCTTAGACTTAGGGATAGGTTTTAATTAAGTCCAGGTTACAGCTCAATAAGATATCAAAAACATTTTATTGTATTTGACCTCTAAAACACTATTTGTCTTTTTTTTTTTTTTCTTAGCCCTGGATAAAGTCATCTGCCAATCCACAGATAGGCTAACCACAGCAAATGGCCAGTTATTGTATGTATTAACATACATGACGTCTTGATTTTTCTTTGACAGGTAACTTTAATTATTTTGACAAATATTTAATGTACTAGGTACGGTTCTAGGTGCTAAGGATAAAGCAGAACAAAACAACATAAAGCCTTAACTTTGTGGGTTTATTATATGCCATTCATTCACCCATTTATTCAACTAGCATTTACCTTCTAATCTGACTCGGGCCTTACACCACTCACTGTGCCTAAACAGGATTTTACCTCCGCCTCAGAGTCTAGCGGGAGAAATAAGACATGTCCCCTCTCCTCCCCTGCTATCCTCCACGTAGGGAGTATAGAAGAGGGGCACCTCCTTTAGCTTGAGTGGTTCAAAGAAGGTTTCTGAGAGAAGATGACAAGGAAGATGAGGGTGGAAGGATGACTGGATGAGGGCGAAAGGCAGTCCAGGTAGTGGTGAGACAGAGCATGGCTTAAGTCTGGTTCAGGGGAAGTCAGTGAATGCTGTTGAGTGAATTAATGGAACTTCCCCAGGAGAACATAAACTCCATGAGCTGTGATCTGGGAACTGCCAGTCCGTCCTGTGGTGGAGTGTGGTGTGTGGGGATGAGGGGGAGGAGCGGGGGCTGAGAAGGAGGCAGGCTCTGAGTGTGAGGTAGGCCTGGCTAAGGTGCTTTGTCCTGATGACAATTAGAAAATTTGTGGATCACGTTAAACAGCAATGTGTTAGGGTCTGATCATGTTCTATTCTTTTCTTAGTAAAAGTGTATTTTAAAAATTACACAAATGATATCTATTTTAGAGGACTTCTTAGGGACCTTTTGTAAGAGCAGTGATTTCATTATGCTACTTCTGTAACTGGTACATGGCTCATCTCTTTCTGTGTCACAGTGGAAAAACCTTTCTCCCTCACTGGACCTGACACACACAGGCTCTCAGTAAAGATTTGCTGTTGTTGAAATTCCATGGACAGCTTAGGCAAGGCTGTGATCTGGCCCAAAAGTGCCACTCTGAGAAACAAAAGTAGTGATTGAATTTTATTGAAATACATAGAATATTTAAAAGCTTAATGATTTCATGGCAGGGAGGAGGAACTCCAAAATAAATGAGCAAACTCATTGGATGCCATTGGCTGTAACTAGATAAAAATCCTTATTTTGAAGATTGTCAATTTAAGGGAATTAAGTAAGCATTATCCTGCCTTTCCAATTCAATCTACCTTTCAGGGTGACCAAATAGCATTAATTAATGAGGAAAAATTCTTTACAGATGATTAGCAACTAATAAATGGGGAAGGAATGACAATTAGATAAATCACCAGTTTGCAATCTTAATGATATAATCAAGGCAAAGATCAATAAAGGATGAAAGCATTAGATGAAAGGCTTATGGGGAAGTTTACAATGAAGAGATCTAGCTGACACCACTTGAATCTGCTGATTAATATTAACATTACTAAGCCTGAAATAGCCAGACAAATGTGTTAATGTGTTATTGAGATGCCCCCTTATGGGGAAAAAAAATCTGAATCCAATAAAGCTTTTATTTAAAAAAAAAAAAATATATATATATATATATCATTGATTTCAGAGAGAAAGGGAGAGGGTAACAGAGATAGAAACATTAATGATGAGAGAGAATCATTGATTGGCTGCCTCCTGCAAGCCCCCTACTGGGGATTGAACCCACAACCTGGGCATGTACCCTTGACCGGAATCAAACCCGGGACTCTTCAGTCCACAGTCCGATGCTCTATCCACTGAGCCAAACCAGCTAGGGCTCTAATAAAGCTTTTAGAACTAACCTCCAGTTTACATGAAATATAGGAGGTGGAGGCTCAAGTTTAAGTGATTCCACAAGGATTTAAATGGATAAATCCAGGATATGGGATATTCTATAGAACAACTGGACTAGTTTAATCACAAGTCAAAGGCATAGGGAAAGAAATAAAGGTGGGGCAAGGTGAGGAGAGACTGTTTCAGGTTTTAAGACTTAGAAAACATAATCATCAAATACAATGTGTGAACCTCATCTGGATCTTGATTCAACTGAACCAATGATAAAAAAGAGAACTAGGAAAATGGCCTAAAAATTAGATGATATTAAGGATTTGTTTCTTTTGTTAGGTGTGTTGCCAGCAGTGTGGTTTTGTGAGAAAATATAGGCACACCTCATTTGATTGCTCTTGGCTTTATTGTGCTTCACAGCTGTTGAGTTTTTTGTTGTTTTTTTTTTTTTTACAAACTGAAGGCAAGACCCTCCACCAGCAAATGGATCATGGCTCCCTTTATTGCTGTGCTCACTTTATTGCTGTACTCACTTTATTGCAGTGGTCTGGAACCAAACCCACAGCATCTCTGAGGTATGTCTGCATTCACATACTTTAGAGATGCAAAGTGAAGGATCTAGAAAAGAAATAATAAGAGGCCCTAGCCTGTTTGGCTCAGCGTTTGTCCTGTGGCCTGATGTTTCTATCTCTCCCTTCCTTTCTGAAATCAATATATATATCCTGTCTAATAAAGAGGGAATATGCTAATTGACCCTCACACCATCACAAAGATGGTGGTGCCCACAGCCAATAAGGAGGGAATATGCTAATTGGCTGCCCCGCCCTAAAATGGCGGTGCCCACAGCACAAGATGGTGGCACCCAGTCCCTTCAGCCCTGCCAGGGTGGCAGGCGCACGGCAAGGCCGGGCCCACCCCCAGGTGGGCCCGGCTGCTCCGCGTGCTTGCCTCCAGAGTCCCCCAGTCCCCTCAGCCCCCAGTCACCCAGGGCCGGCCTGAGGCACAGGCAAGCCTCAGATGTCAGCTGCCCAGCTGCCCAGGGCTGACCCAAGGCACAGGCAAGCCTTGGATGGTGGCTGCCCAGCCTCCCAGGGCCACCCGAGGCTCAGGTAACCAGGGCCGGCCAAGGCTTGTGCTGCCGGCAGTGGCAGCAGCAGAGGTGTGATGGGGCATCGCCTTCCCCTGATCGCCGGGTCGCCTCCCACCCCTGAGGGCTCCCAGACTTGAGAGGGGGCAGGCCGGGCTGAGGGACGCCCCTTCCAGTGTATGAATTTTCATGCACCAGGCCTCTAGTGTATATATATATATATGAAGAAATAATGAGAGGTCAGGGAATTGCTTTAAAATACTTACACAGAAATAGGAGAGAACTAGATGAAGCAGTGTGGCAAAACTGAGAGTTGTTGAATCAGGGTGAAGGATATTTTTTATACTATCTTTTCTAATTTTGTTTACTTGAAAATTTTCATAATAAAAAATGTAGTGGAGACAAGCAAAATAGAAATCTTCTGGACAGTCCATCCTGATCCTTGTATATCAATGGAATAAAAAAAAAATGGAAAAAGTTATTGCAAAACAGACTAACTTGCTGTTCTTTAGTTGTCAGCTCACACTATAAGGCGGAAGCACATCCGATGTCACTGATCACACCTGGGAAGATGTGATCAAGGTGGAAGGAAGGGTTGTTGGTGGGGGTAGCACTTCCTTCTCACTACTCTCTTTTTGCTAACACCTGAAGTGGCACCTCAGCAAATCCAAGCAGGATTTGCAATGAGAGCAGTTTGCAGTGTGTGTGTTTTTTCTCATCTAAAAAATGCTAATCACTCTCAATGTCTTTGCTGATTCACTGGGGAATAATTTTTGGTCCTGTAAGTAGATCCCAAGACTTAAATGGAACTTGGGAAGAATTTAACAAGCATGTATTCTGTACAGATCACCCCTCATCTGATACAGGTGTTCTGGGGGCCTGGGGACCTGAGGGTCCACAATCCACCATGGGTTCTTGGCTTCGTGCAGGTAAGAATTCAAACACAAGCCAGAATAGAGTTTAAAGTGAAAGTGAGTTTATTAGTGAAGCAGTGAGACAGGGAAAGGGCTACTCCTCAGACAGAGCAGCCCCCCTTTAGCAGAATTTGCTTCCTTTATTGAAGTTTATTTAATGGGGGAGGAATATTCAGAATCATCCCAGGAAAGGAGTAGAGATTTTTGGAAGAGCCCTGTTGGCCATTTTGTGTCCTTACATGGGCTTTCTTTTTCTAATCCTGGTGATGTGTGGTGTGTTGGTTAATATGCTGATGAATTACAATGAGTGTATAATGAGGCTAGGGGTTACCGTTAGGTGGAATTAGTCACCATGTTGGATGAGCTGGTCTCTGCCAGTTTTAAGCCATAAATCCAGTGTGTGTGTGTGTGTGGGGGGGGGGGGGGAGTGGTCTTCCTTCTTCTTGACAGCTCCTGTAGCTTTTATCAATTGCAGCTGCTCTGCCACATGCCCTATCTCAACCCCACCTCTTCCAACACTTCCTCCCTGCCTGCTCTGTGTGAGTTTAGATTAGATTGGATTTGAGGAAGAGCCTCATGTGAAGGGGTTGAAATCTGGGGTAATTACCTAGAAAGATTAAGATACTTTTCTTAAAAGACCTATTAAAATCTAAGGCTGAGCTCAGCTGGTGTAGCTCAGTGGTTGAGCATTGACCCAAGAACCAGGAGGTCATGGTTCAGTTCTGGTCAGGGCACAAGCCTGGGTTACAGTCTCAATCCTCAGGTGGCATGCAAGGGGCAGCAATCAATGATTCTCTCTCATTGAAGCTTCTATCCCTCTCTCCCTCTCCCTTCCTCTAAATGAAATCAATAAAAACATATTTTAGCTCTAACTGGTTTGGCTCAGTGGATAGAGCGTCGGCTGCGGACTGAAGGGTCCCAGGTTCGATTCTGGTCAAGGGCATGTACCTTGGTTGTGGGCACATGCCCAGTAGGGAGTGTGCAGGAGGCAGCTGATGGATGTTTCTCTCTCATCGATGTTTCTAACTCTCTATCCCTCTCCCTTCCTCTCTGTAAAAAAATCAATAAAATATATATTTTTAAAAAAACATATTTTAAAAAAATCCATGGCTGAGCCTCAGATTTTTATTATCTGGAATCGCCTAGTAATAATGAGATTAACAACTATTTGTGGCCTGTGTCTGGGCATCTAGCATTTTTGCCTGCTCAGTGTCCCTTTCCCCTCCTCCTTATAATAGAATATTCTTTCTTTGGGGGAAATCTGTATGTTTGCATAGGGCTGCTCCTTTCCTTCTACATGGGATGGGCAGATCTAGCCAATCAGATTACCCCATTTCCTTGACCACAGAAGTTACTACACAGATGGGCATATTGGCTCGACCCAGAATTTTTCAGCCAGATCTGGAGAAAAAGCTCTTTATCCATTGAATTGATAAAGTGGCTGGCTGTGAGGCTTGGCTTGCTGGTGGCTAGAGTGCCCTTCACATGCAGAGAGCCAACAAAACAGAAGTGCTGGGGACCTTGGAAAACTAAGCCCTCCTTAAATTATTTGAGCCTTTGGTTCTAACTGTGCCTGGAGCAAGATTGGGTAATTTAAATGTGAGCAACAGTAAATTGCCTTTTCCCCCCCTCCCTTACTTAGTTTCAATTGGGTTAGTGTCATTTCCCCGGGAAGGTCTTAATTAGCATGGCATCATCCATTCCATTAACATTGATTAAGTGGTTGCAGTCACTTAGACACCCTGGAGATACAGAAAGGAAAGAGTCCATGTTCCAAGTTGCTAGCAGTCAAAGACACGGTTATGATACAGGAATAATAGAATAGATGACACATCTGGTGCTTAATAGGTTCAAGCACTATTCTGAACATTTTACATACAGGTGTAGGCAAAAGTAGGTTGACAATTATGAGTACATGAAACACAGAGTTTATTCTTGTATTATTAATTAATTGTATTATTTTCCATATGAACAACTGTAAACCTACTTGTGCTCACCCCTATACACTCTGTTATTTCATTCTTACAACAACCCAATGAGATAGTTTCTGTTTGTTTGTTTTTTTTTGTTTTTTGTTTTTTCCATTTTAGAGATAGGGAAAATGAGGCACAGAGGAATTAAGGAAATTTCCCAAGTTGACCCAGTTCAGAAGTAGAAGATCAGGATTTAAACCCAGGTAGCCTGGCTTTTACCATCACACTCTAGACCTAAGGGTCAATGTTGGAGTTATCCTGAGAATAACTAATAATAATGGCTTACTATGTGTCCAGCCTGGTGCTAGGTACATTTCTGCCCTAATGCATTAAATCTTTCCAAGGATTTCATGCAGCAAAGCTGGTTTATTTATTTATTTATTTATTTATTATTTAATCTTCACTTGAGGATCTGTTTTTTTAAATTAATTTTTTAGAGACAGGATGGGGGGGGAGAGAGAGAGAGAGAGGGAGGGAGAGAGAGAGAGAGAGAGAGAGAGAGAGAGAGATATGCGGGAAATATCGATAGGTTGCCTCTCATACATACCCCAACTGGGGACCAAACCTGCAATCTTTTGGTGTACAGGATGATGCCCAACCAACTGATCCACCTGGCCAGGGCAAGCTTATTTGTTGTATAGTGGAGGGAACTGAGGCTCAGAGAGGTTAAGTGACTTGCCCAGATCACACAGGTAACAAATGGCAAAGGGTGAATTTGGATCCAAGACCTTTCTCTTTGTGTCATAGGACCTTACCGTCCAGCTTTCCACTAGAGGTGTGGCATGTCTAGGATGCTTATGACTGGCTGCCAGTGACTGGGGAATGGAGTCAACACGGAGAGTCCTGTGTCACCAGAGAGTGGCGTATTTTGCTCCCAGCAGTGCTCTTGGAATTTGTGTACACCTTGCAACCTGAGACTCCTGAGAATGTATCTGCGGTAGTGGGGGGAGAGATCAGGGAGCTCAGTGTAAGTGTCCCTTTGGGAGAATAAAAAGGATATTATTTATTTATTTATTTTGGTGGCAGCTATTCAAATGTCGGAGAAGGAGAAAATTGCATTTGTTCTGCTTCCTGCCTTCAAGCCAGACCTGTGAATAAGGTATATGTCAGGTATATTGAGGACAGAGTGCACATTTAATCAGAAAACCAGACTTTAGAAGCAATATTTGGGTTGGAAGATTTTTTATGATCCATAACAGGCATACTTGTCTAATAAAAACACTCCCAATATAGGAGAAGTTTTTTTTTATGAAGTCAGTGTTTATTAACATATAGTTCATGTTTACAATTTATTTATTTTTTAAATATATTTTTATTGATTTCAGAGAAGAAGGGAGAGGGAGAGAGAGATAGAAACATCAATGATGAGAGAGAATCATTGATCGGCTGCCTCCTGCTCACCCCCTACTGGGGATCGAGCCTGCAATCCTGGCATGTGCCCTTGACCAGAATCGAACCTGGGACCTTTCAGTCTGCAGGCTGATGCTCTATCCACTGAGCCAAACCAGGTAGAGCTACAGGAGAAGTTCTTTAAAAATATTTTTTTTTTCTTTATTGATTAAGGTATTACATATGTGTTCTTATCCTCCATTGTTGAAATTCTAATGA